GGGGCAGCCTGGAACCGGCCCCTCCTTTTGGACATCTCTAGGTCCGCCCCTGAAACCCTACCTCTCTTTACTACCAAATTTTAAAAGAATGTCTGTCGTACATTTTTTAGAGTGATACTTGGAAAAAATCCATTGATGACGAGATGGGATATGTCTTGTAACATCATGTTCCTGAATTGATCCATCAGGACACGCTTGGATCCCAATCCATATAGGAGAATGTTAAATCCATCCCTGCAATATAAATTTTAAAATACTGGATACTCAGAAAACAAATTTTGGCTTTTAATAAGTAATAATTTGTAGTATTTACATAATAATAAACTTAATTATTCATTAATGAAACTAGCATAAAAAAATAAATACAAAACAAAAAAAAGAACCACATTTATTTCATGTTTACAATATTGCCTCTGAAAACTTACAACATTTGAAACATCCATCGATTGAAAATTCCACGGTGTTCTTGGTAGAGTAGTTCTGTGTCCTCAACATGACTGGTGGGGGCGCTGTGCAACATACTTTTCAAATGTTGACTACTCATTTTGGGATTCTTGAGTCGAGCAAGAGTACGATCGGATGTAACTGTTCTATCACTATGGGCTACAAAATAATCTTCTGCCATATTTTCCTACAAAAACATCAAAAATATTGAATACTAATTTTTTCAAAATCTTATGCATCTTATTAAAATGTGTCTGTAAATTATATTTTTCAAAAAGCTTGGAAAGTTATTGAGCTTGTGCAATGTCATTTATCATTGGATTCATAATGACAAACACATCTCCTGGGCTGGGGAGACAAGCATAGCTAAAATACATTCAAGAATGACACAAGCCATAGACAACATACGATTTGTACACCAACCATGAAGAATTACAGCTCAGACCACTACCACTGCACTAACAGCTATTTTGACTCAAGCTCTGTGTTTGCCAGGTTCTACTGATGAATGATGATCACACTCAATATATTATGGGCATATCACATACACTTGGACAGACATTTATATCATCATAAAATTTACACTTACTGTTTGTATCTCAGCTCTTGTTCTCTTCCTCATCGTTGTGGTAGGTGTGTTCTTTGCAGTTGGACATGGGGTCTTTGTAACCTGCTTTTGCGACTCTTGATTACCGGTACTATTGCGGTCACATGTATCATCGTCACTGTTGGAATCATCCTCACTTTCTGATGAATAATCACTGTCTAGATCAACGTCACGAACAGCGCCTAAAAAAATACAACCAATGCAAATAAAGGACACAGCACAGATGTAAATTACACATTAAATCAAAATAAGAAACAAGTGGCTTAGTTGTAACATTCCAGGTTTTCTAATCACAAGGTCACTGGTTCAATTCCTAACCTGATCATAACTTTTATGTTCAAACCCACCCTAACCATACATTAAAGTCTGAATGGTCTCACTTTACTCTTTGCCTTTTAAAACATAACATAATTCTTTTTCTTTTAAAAGTTTTGACAATTCTTTTACAGTTCAATAACATAAGGAATAATTGGAAAATTCTCATGACAACAATTCATTTTGATAATCATAATTATTTTATAT